AGGGCTATTTTTCGAAAACGTCGTCCGTGGGATTCGAACTCTAGACCTGCCATCTGGGGGTGCGACAACTCCACCACATATTATGCTGTTATGTACTGTATGTATATATTAAATATCTAATTTTTCAAACATCTTTTATGCACTTTTAGTTGTCAATTGACATGATAATTGATGTATTAAGATCTTTACAAAGACTTGAGATGTACCTCGTATATATTTTTTATTCAATTTTGCCAGTCTTCAATGCTTTATACTAATTTATTTTCTTTGAAATATAATATGAATTGCCTATGGGTACAAATCATAGTCAGTACTTTATGGTATATCATTTTCAATTTTCACTTCCTGAAAAAAAACTTGGGCAATTCTTAATGCAAACAAATATAATAGACTATTGATAATAATACATAATTCATATTTATTAATGAGATAATATATTTTAACTATTTTAGTTTGTATATTTCTTTTTCTTTCTTTTTTTAATTATATCTGAATCGATTTTTTGTTTTATTTACATTTGAATCGACCTTTTATTCATCACTGGATGTTGATTTATTATTAAATGACAGGTTAGATCTAAACATTTTTTACGATAGAGGTAAACAATTTACGTCCTCCTCAAGTTTCCTTTATATAATGCACGAAATATAAAAGTAGATGGGTAGCAATGAATGAAGACAACAGTCATGTGAATTTAGGCAATAATCAGAGCTTGAAAATCGAATAAAGCAAATAATCATTCTAAAGCTCTTTATGATTAGTGTTGAATAATTATAATGACACTTTATAGTTGGTGTTAAATAATTATTATTCTAATTACTCTTTATAGTTAGTGTTAAATAATTATTCTAACAGCTATTTATAATTAGTATTAGATACTTTTTTACAATATATGTTCTACTGTAATTGTATACAACTTGCAGATTTTTCTAATATTCCGTGGGATAGAGAGAAACAAAATTTATACCTTCTTCAAGTTTTCTTTGCATAATATATGAAATGTAAAAAGTGGATAAGTAGCGACGAATGAAGATAGCAGCATGCAAATTAAAACAATAATTCTAATGGCACTTTATGGCTGGTGTTAAATAATTATTATTCTAAGGCTATACAAATTTAATTATTTGGTTTTTATAACATGAAATTTTAAAATAAACCCGGCTGGCTAGCTTTTTTTTTACAACTGTTTTTATAAATTCTGAAACATCTTGCAAAAAATTGACTACCGAATATTTGCCAATTCAATAAGTTTATTATTTCGGTATAATAACTGCCGAATCAAAAACTTATCAAATCAGCAAATATCCGGTCGGTCAATTTTTTGCCAGATGTCCCAGAATTTATGAAAATAGCAATAAACCCACCTGGTTAATAAAACATATAAAATTTTTTTTTTAGAAGTTTTCAAATTTGACTCGGCCAGGTTATGAAACCAATTACAGCTATTATCATAATTTCTAGAACATCTGCTTATTACCCAAAAACTTTTTGGTCATTTGGTAAATTACCTAACTCTCCGGAAATTACATCAATACCTCCAGACTGAAGGTTCGAAGATAGCGATGTAGTTTCCAGAAAGTTAGAGAATTTACCGAACAATCAAAAAGACTTTAGGTAATGAGCAGATGTCCCAGAAATTATGATAATAGCTGTAATTAATTTTGCATAGCCTAATAACTCTTTTTATACCATAGCCACTATATCAAGATTACAGGGTATAAATCAGTTATACCCTGGGCACTATATATAGGCAGAAATTTTATCTCCACTTATACCCAACTGCCTAGGATATAACTAATACATAGTAAGTATTTAAATAATTATAATAACAGCTATTTATGATTTAAATAATTATTTACAATATATTGTAATTGTATACAATTTGCAGATTTCTCTAATTTTTCGTGGAATAGAGGAAACAAAATCTACATTCTCTTCAAGTTTTTTTTGTATAATGCATAAAATGTAAAAAGTGATAAGATAGCTGCATGCAAATTTAGGCTACTTTATTTTTAGAGTAGCTTGAAGTTGTTAGCTTAAAAGGTAGCTGGCTTATAAATGGCCCAACTCTAGCTTGAGAACTGAAGGATTGGCTCAGCTCTAATTTGGAAAGCCAAAGAATCAGCTCGGCTTGACAATATTAGCTATGAGCTGGGCTAAGCCAGCTGTTTACATCACTATGTACACACTATAAAACTCAATTAAGAAAAATAATTACCTAACTTGTATGATAATAAATATATGGTTTAGTACATACATAGTTCATTAGATTAGCAATAATGATTTAAATTTTAGGTTTACCTTTATTAGATTTTAATGGTTAATATAGATAGTAATAGTAAAAAAAATCATAACAATTAACTTGTATGTGCAAACTTTATGTATAGAAACTGTATAGAATACTATATATATATATTTGTCTAGAGAATTTTATTTCATTGTAAATTTTACAAATTTTTCTAACTCTCAAAGCCATGGATTAATTAAAAATCACACAAACTTAACCTGCTTTCGTTGTATACTCTAATAATATACAAAAAAAATTTACACAGTATGATGATTTATCAACATCATCTAAACAAGTTTATTCTCCTGATTTTTCTAATATTATGAGTGATGATTTAATTATTTTATTATCATTTCAAAGTACTAATAAACAACTATTGTCCAAAGATGATATTAATTCTGATAATAAATTAGGGACAGATTCAGCTATCAAATTGTTGCTTGCATATTTATCAGAAAATTTCTCTAGCTATCGTAAAAATAAAAAGAAGTTTTATATAAAATCTGCTTTGCATATAGGTAGTAAAACAAGTACACAAGTTCATAGAAAAGTACAAAGCCTTATTAGAAAATATTCTGAAGAAAAAAAAGAAAAAACAGGAAAAGGAATATCAAAATGGCCTTACTTTTATTTAATGAATAAAATTTTTGGAAACTGTGAAATGTTTAACCTGAAACTTTAATTGATAGTACCAGAAAGGTATAGTATTATTTTTTTTTTTTTTAAGATCAACTCTGATAAGATAAAAGTTATAACTTTGTTTATAAGTTTTTTTTCAAGCTTACTAAAAAAATTTTTAATAAAAATTTAGTATTATATTAATAATGATTAGAGTTCTATTCACTGCAAAAAAAGAACAAAATTGAATAATAATGAATTAGCTTATATAGAATCTATAGCAGCTATTAGTGAAAGTAAAAAGATGTCTACTGAATATAGAAAAAAGTGGAATGAGGATCATGCTAAAATTGAGTGTGAAAAGCTTGAATTTGATAAAGAAAAATTTCAAGCTCAAATTAAACTTAAAGAAAAAATAGAATTAGAAAAAGTTAAAGAAAATAGAAGAATCGAATTAGAAAAATTTAAATATAAGTTAGAAATAAAGACAAGTTATAAGCTAAAAATGAAAGAAATAGAATTAAAATTAAAAGAAATAAAATTAAAAGAAATGAAATTAAAATATAAGAGTAGTAAATAATTATGTAAACCATATTTTATATATTTTATATAATTTAAATAAATGCTTGTTTTTTTTTTTTTAATATTAAGGTGAGCACTTAGGTCCCTGGCACGTAGCTTTATTCGGATAGTTATGATATTACCACAATGGTAGGAGGGTAC